GCGACAATTACTCTTCACATCTAGACCTACATAGAGGTCCTTTGTGTTAGGAACTTGCTACCGTCGCTATCAAATGAAATAGAATTTCATCTACCGGCTAACTTAATCAGCTGTTCCAAGTCAGTTGCTTTTTATTTTGTAGTTCTCGTTCTATAAATAGGGCACGTCTACTCTCTCCTCCTCCACCCTCCCCTACCTCGTCCCACGATGACCGTTCAGAGGGGAAAAAATTGGTGGACTGTGTCGACTGGTCTCAGAATACTATAGGACAGCCACTGTGGTGAAGCCGGTGTTAAGGGTGGTGGAAGAGGTCGTATGGACAAGAGCCTCTCCCCTGGGCAAAAGCTCTTCCCCTGCTATCAAGACTGATAGTGGTGGAAGCCTTTTTAAGGGAAGGGGTAGGGGATTCGTAGAAGCTTTCAAAATTGGAACCACAGCCGCTTCACTCTACCAGCAAGTACATAACCACGACCTCTCAAATACAACATTACCCGCTTGAAAATACGCAGCACTACTGAATACCTTCAGTTTTTGGACCGGCACTTTTACTCCGCTGGGTGATCATGTGGCCAAATGCACTTTACGGTCGGTCCTCCTCACATAGGTGCACGGTATTCTGGTCTAAGTACTCTGCCTAAACACTGACCTTCAAGTCGCGATGAACATATCCGAGTTGGTGTAAATGACGCACAGCTGTGCACAAGCCCAGAAAGATGCGAATCACCTGAAAAGGCAAGGTGATGCTCATTCGAGGCGATTTTTGCCTACGTCGCCAATAACGATAATAGTAAGAGTATCTGGTGCGAACGAGTGAGCCAAGATGCGACTTTTGATCTCGGAAGGCTCAAAAGTTTAGAAGAAGGCATTTTTGAGTCTATCCAACCACCCTGCTTTCCTTGCGCTCCCTCAAGCCGGCTCGGAAATCTATGCTTACAATAAAAGCTTCAAGAAGGAGCAGATTAGTCCATTATCAAAGCGACAAGTAATTCAGAGTTATGCTGCACTGAAAGCACAAAATCATCCACGAATATTTGATGCAGAAGAATACCTCTTCCTGAGTGAGGTAATCGTTTTTCGGTCGCCTTCGCAACAGATCGTCACCGACAGATCCTCGGCGGTAGAACGGGAACACCAGGTAAGTCACTTGATCCGTATTTATCGCAGCTAACAACGGAACCACGTATCGTATGGTCGACATCTGGCGGTGAATCGAAGTCTGAACGCACATCATTCAGATCAAGAGCTTTGGGATAATTCAACTGGAACCATAAAATATTTCAATTTCTATCAAACTTTGTCAGATTTCGCTTCATGTCGCTTTCTGCCACCTACATCACTTAATGGAGCTTTGTGCCACCTTCGTGTCGTTTACTACCACCAGCCGGAGATTGCCATCAAAACTGACAGCTTCACCTTCCCCACAGCGGTGCCCTGCCTTCCTTCCGTCACCTATAGTGCTTGTATTTGTGGTCGTCTCCGGCTTCTTTATTAAGCCACCGCGAAATAGATCCCTTGGGCTGGAAGTGAGCTTCAGAAGGCCCTCCCTCAAGGCCTTACATGGTCCTACTGTATTCTCACTCTGACACGATTGCTACAACAAAGGATTGCTGGAGAAATATAGCCTGACAAAGTCACTCGCTACCCTTTCACTTGCTCGATCCCCTACTTTTCAATACCGTCACCTTAAAATAAAATAAATAGCCTACCTCCATCTCGATCCGCTCCACGCTTTCACGCGAATGCTTGGCTATCTTTTTCACCGCGAAGCTCTCGTTGCTGTCGATATCAGTGCAGAGTAAGACCTGCAACGTTTTACCTCCACGAAATCGTAAGAAATTCAATTAATAGTATGTTCCGTTCACATGTGATATACTTTCAAGAACTTCACTACTGCCCAATTACCGGGAAAGGAAAAATCAATGCATACTCGAGGTTCAGAAAACACACAACGAGCTGAGAAGCGATGTCACAGAAAGATCTACTGCGACCTCTTCCCGAAAGGGGATAGAACCTCATATACCGCCATATGCCACGTTGCGGACGGGGAACCTGCAACTGCAGGACGACCGCAACCGCTACATGCACCTGTAACTACTTCTGAGCACCCAAAACCCCTGACTCTGCCAATTTTATCCACCTACTTGACATGCAAAATACAATAATTCACGGTGCACGTACCTGACTGAACCCGCCCTCAGCTATCTGTTTTACAATTCTGATACGGTACCCGCCTCCGACCAGATCGGCGTTCGACCAAACGCAGCCCATCGATGACCGCAACAGCTCGGCACTGCCAGCGTTCTGTCAGATGGCTAGTGAACCCTCGCTGAAAAACGTCCTTGCATAGTAATTACGTTTTCGGCAAATGGAATGGTGAGTTAGCGCAGATAAACAATCTGACTGTTTGAGAACTGAAATCCGTACGAACAAGCAGATGAAAGACCTTGATAATGGCAAAGTGAGCTCCAGTTGCACGCAAGAAGCAAAAACAGGGCAGTTGGTAAAAATCGAAAAACTTTCGGTGTATACCGTGTTACTTTCGAACAGGCGCAAACAACAAAGTATTTATTCGTATAATCTCTAGATGGCAAGACTCCGAAGGCGTTGCTGCGCATAAGGCAGGTAGCGAAGCGAATAAGTTAATTCACCCATAACGAAAACAAGTTAAAGCTTATGAAGAGATTTCGCAAAGATGGCACCATAGCAGGATAGAAATGCGCACTACTTGAAAACACTATTTCCATACGGAATAACATCGACAATGAAAGTTATACGCAGTTTACCGTACAGAAGGAAAACTGCGTCAAATACTTTGGCTAAAAATATTGCAAACATTGTCGACATAAAAAATCACGTTTTACGACTGAGACACTACTCAAATGAAAGAGGAGCCTTTTCCGATACATATATGAATAGATTATTTCTTCCCGAAAGATACTACATAGTTAGAGGTAAATTGATCCATACCTTTCAAATAGTTAGACTACAAAATTGTGACAACTGAAAGCACAATATCATGGAGTGCCTGGGTAGAAGAAGGCACCTGTTCACCTACAGCTCATCTTTGTTCTGTTGCACTCCATGGAGATGTTCACCCTCCACTACCGTCGAATCCTCGGTGTCACTCACATAGCCCTCCTCATGAGTGTATCGCTGAGGGAATACGGTAAGCGGATACAGAGTGAACGCACGCAGGTTCCGTACAGGAAAATGAGACACCCATTCCTGAAAATAAACCAAAATTGTACGGAGACTCGCTCATTCTGCCCTGTATTTAACGAGTCTCTCGCATTATTTCTTCACTCCCTCTAATTATCCACTCTATATATAAAGCAGTAGTTTGGTGTGTTTGTTTGTCCAGCATTCTATGGCTCCCTTGGCTAGATTGGAGAGAATAGTTGGTATAGTACCCCGAATGGGTGGGAAGTTGCCCTGAGGGCGTGTGCAGTTGAGGGCAGGGCTTGGCTCGAAGTGAGTACGGTAGTGGGCGGGGTCCGACGTGAGGGGCGGGGCTTGCGCCAAAATCTCTGCGGAGAATATCGATTTTCGCGCAGAAGGCTCGAATGAGGTTGGGAATCACAGTATTGATTGGGGGCTGTGGTAAAAGTCGAAATTCCACCGGGTCACATGCTATCGATCGATATCGATTGAAAATATCGGTTTTTGCGCAGAGGGCTCGAATGAGGTTGGGAATCGTAGTATTGATTGGTGCTGCAGTAAAAGTGGAAATTTCATCGAGGTGACATGCTAAAACCATATTATTGATTTGGCGTTGAA